CACACACACACACACACACACACACACACAGCGCTTGTGAATTTGTTAACCTGGAGGTAAGTGATCGTGCAACAACATGAGGAAATGTCCTTTCATTTATCCTAATGACAGCACGTGTGTGTGTGTGTGTGTGTGTGTGTGTGTGTGTGTGTGTGTGTGTGTGTGTGTGTGTGTGTGTGTGTGTGTGTGTGTGTGTGTTCTCTTTGGATATTGAATGGTGTTGCTAGTTCAGTGTTAGTTGCATCTAACTAAAAATGTGAAATGATAAAAGAAGTTCAACCTAAAAAAGTTAGACACGATTCAGGTAACATAATTTTTGCTATGTATTGCATAATGTACGTTGTGCCGCTTGAAATAATTGTGAAAAGTGTTGATGTGATTCATGAGGCAGTAAGCTGAGGTGTGCCTATATAATATCTATCCAGAGGTCATTTCACACTTGAAAGCCTGAGATTATAGTGCATCCTCTTTTATTTTCAGGAATGTGATATCCATTTAAGAATGTGGGCTGGTGTAAAGAAGCACAGTTTTGCTCAGATCTGCCCACACACACAAACACACAAAGTCTGTCTTGCTTTCACACTAATGTCTCACTTGCTGTGTTATTATCTTCAGGCTTCCCCCTCTCACCTCATTAAAGTGTAAGGTATTTTTCCTCTGTTAATCTTGGCCACAAGAGGAGAAAATGCACCACTTTAATACATTTTAACACCGGCACAACTCAACTCATTAGCATGCCTGAAAAACGTTCAGTATGTTGGTGTTTATATCAAAACAATTGTCTCTAATTGTGGGAAAAAAATCTTGTTGAGTGTCACATACCTCTGTGTACTGTTCTGCCTGTGAGAGCTCCTCGAACAGAGAAGGTGCGATTTGATCTCAACCTTGTACCCTTTGCTCAAAGCAAAGTGTGACAGTTTATTCCACAGTTTATCTAAAAAAGAATTCAGGGACATCCCACTCTTTCTGTATTCTCATTACATTTCCCAACATGAACTGTAAGTGTCGGCATCGGTTTTTGAAAAGGGAGCACTTTATTTGCTTCTGAAGGCCTTCCTATATCCAAGGTCTTTCTATAATTATGTGAAACAGGCTTTCCACTTGGGACTTCTGATCCACATACTATCAGCATGCAGTCTGATGTTGTTCCCGATCAATGCTGCCCCCTACTGGGTAAAAAAACAACCTGCAAGTCTCACAGTGTAATTATCTACTGATCCTGAACGGCCCTCATTAAACAGACCATGGCTATGATGTGACATGCAATTTGCAAATGTAACACATTTTCTTTTCATGTCACCATACATGAAGGTTATTCTGATTACTTCCACACAGTAAGAGACACACTTTAAATTCATGGAGGAAGAGCACTGATATTGCATCAGCATCACTCAGGCATTGGAATCAGGAGATTTAGCATGATATATGGGATGTGTGGGACTTCGACTACAAATTTTTTCCAATGACAAGCTAGCATTATGTCCAAGTTTGATCAATGTCAAGTTTTACATTTTAGGAAATACTCTAGATGAACCCAATGCTATTGGCATGACATTATTTCCTTTTTCTTTCTCCATGTCTCCAGGTGCTTTTAATAAGAACTTGCGAGCACCTGAAGTGGTCTTCAAAGTGATCTTTTGGCTGGGCTACTTCAACAGCTGCCTGAACCCCATCATATACCCCTGCTACAACCGCGAGTTCAAGCTGGCCTTTATCCGCATCCTTCAATGCCAGTGTCACCAGCGTAAACGCCCCGGCTGGAAGGCCTACAATTACCGCTCCTCCAACATCAGCTCCTCCGGAAACTCTCGCAAAGGATCAACGGATCAAAACTCCAGCTGCTTAAACGGCAGCCAGCGTACTCTGCCGTCCTCAGCCAGCCCGAGCCCCAGTTACCTGAGCAAGGGTCTCCCTCCTTGCCCTGAGGGGGAAACGTTATACATCTGGGGGGGCTCCACCCCAACTCCCTCCACACCCAACCTGCTGCCCGGCAGCCCCGCAAACTACCAGCTGGGAGATCTGAGAGGGGAGGTCAGAGGAAGGAAACCATCTGACGAGACTACTAGGGGTATCTTCTCTTTCTCCTTTGGTAGAAACAGAGACAAGGGAGGGATCCACAAGGACGACATGTTGCCTGATGACAAGGTGTGACTGCTGCTGAGTGTCGCTGACGTCTGGCTCACTCATTCCTCACAGGGATTAAAGTCAATAACAGTGCAGGAGCGTAGGATTTCCCAGGTTTGCGCTATTCACTGTAAATGATCATTCATCAGTCAATGGATTGTTGTTGTCAATGTGAGGTGAAGGTAACTGAGTATTGACTATGCTGCTGTATCAGAGGTATTTTGTCCTATTTATCTTTTCGCTCAACGGACAGTAAGGGGTTCAAACTGTTAATCAAAATCACTGTTCTCCACGCTCTTTGGTACAGGAAAGACACCAGTGCATTCATTTGGGAGGAGAACAGGAAAGACATTTGAAGGAAAAAGGACACATTTTCAGAGAACCCAACACTGCCTTCCCTGTAAATAAAAATTCCTGTCCGCCCTACAAAGACTGACATAACCTTTCTCATGTGAAAAGTGTGATTGACAATTGATCACCTTTATGCTGCAGTCACTTGTTGGTATGTTGTGAAAATAAAGTATAACCTGGTTTATCTGCTGCACAATTATCAGATATCATCTTGTTGTTTTGTTTGTTGTTTGTAAAAGTACTGAATATTGTGATTAGAAATGTGATTGTTGATATGAATAAACATAGAACGTTACTCTAATTCTGGTCTGTAACACTTCCTTTTTTTCTGTAAATAGAATGTGTACCCTCATAATGTGAATGATCATATTCTCTATGTTGATGTCGCAATAGTTATGGTTTATTTAAAGCGGGGAAGTGTCCTAAATCCTAAAACAAGGTCACAGTTGTGAGGTTATTCAGTAAAAGGCAATCGTGAGGCTGTTATTTAGGAACACGTCCAGTGAGCAGAGGTAAATACTAAGCTTTATTGCTTAAAAGACCTTAGATCACAACTCCACTATAAGACATTTAACGATATATACCAACCTGTTCACTGACCTCACAGCCCATTGACTCCTGGTACTGTACATGCCAGTTAATCATTTATTCCTGATGGGCTTTAGTTTTAAAAAGAAGCAATACCGGACAAACGCCGACACATACTAACAGCCAAAGAATCTGGTAAATCTCAGGCTTTTTTTAAAAAACAGATTGAGATTAATCCGTGAGACATAACCGATGGATTTAAATTGAGTGGCTTTGTTTATCATGATTTCCATGCCAGGGACCAACACCTCAGACAACCAGAGCCTGGCTCATGACGGCAGTGATCCTGCTTTATGTCATATCACCTCGGTTAAAGTCTGTGCCTGATCCTACCAATCCCTATCCTTACCATCATGAGGAGTCTTGTCATCATGGCTGCAGTGGCACGTTTCCAAAGCCTCCAGACGCCGACCAATGGTTTAGTGGTGTGCCTGGTTGTTGTGGACTTCCTGGTTGGCAAACTGATGATGCCTTTGAGTCTGGTGCGCTCCATCGACAGCGGGCACTTCGGGTGCTGCTTCTGCCGAGCTAACTTCCTTCCAGATGTCGCCTTCTTGTGCTCCATTTTTTTATCTCAGCGTCATGGTACTGGACCGATACATAGCAGTGTGTGACCCGCTGCACTACCCTGCCCGGATGTCAGCCGTTGTGTGGCATATTGCTGGATCCTGCCTCTGGTCATCTCCTCCTTTTGCGTTAACCTCGACATGAACTCTCAGTATTCTAACCTGTCTGGCCACGTTTCACCTCACCTACGCCTTTGCCTTTGATGGCATGTTGAGGCTGCCCAGATACAAGCGAGTTGGATCCATGCAATCGAACATGGCAGCTCCAAATATTCCCCATGAGGACTGACTCCACCTGACGCGTTCGTCATAACATAGAAAGATATTCTCTGAAGAAGGAAAGAAGGCTGCTAAGACCCTAGGTCTGGTCATTGGGGTCTTCCTGTTCGTTCGGCTTCTTTTCTTCTGTGTGAACGTGGTCCATCCTCTGAAGGGCTTCAGCGACAGCCCCCTGATCCTGGAGGCCTGCTCATGGCTCGGATATGCCAACTCTTCTCTAATCCTTTTCCTGCTTTTTCAAAAAACACTATCAACACTTATTGTGATGGAAACATCTGGAGCAATTGGAAACAGGACTCAGAGAGGCACGAGGAGAGCAGGAACTTTGATGGCAAACACTGATGGTTTATTTGGAGTTACGGCCGGAGAATTGAAAAGACAGGTGGTGTGTCACGAGTTGACACAGCGGTTGCCAAACCAATTCTGAAGAACTCTTCTGCAGCTCGAGGTTTTAACTAGTTCGGAGTGTAATAATCAACATTCTTCATCAGCGAGAGTAAACAAATATGGACCCTGAATCTAATAGAGCTCTCGTCCATAGGAAAGCATGTGCGCCAGGGAACCTTCGTCCCTGAACAGTAAAACTAAT